ATTTTGTTTATTAAAAATTGTCGATTTTTTGATTTCGTTTTTTTTAAAAGTTTAGTTTAACTAATTTTTTATATACTTGCAATTTTTTGTTTATTTTGCTATTTATTTTTTGAATTGGTAAATTTTTTTTTCAAAAATTATAATTATTTAAATTTAAAAAAAAATTTTATAAGTAAATAAATTTTTAGAGATAGATATTTTTTTGATATTTTAAAATTTTTAATGAAAATTATTTATTTATTTTTTCATTATTATTTTACCTGTTCTTTGAATACTCGCAATTTTTTATAAATTTTGCTTAAAAATTATTTTAAAAGCGTAATTAAATTTTTAATAAGGAATATAAATTTTTTTAAAAAAACTTAGAAGTAAAAAAATCGTTTAAGCAATTTTGGATAATTTTTAAATTGTTTTATTATACTTTTTTATATATAATATTTACTTTTTATAAACTTCACTGAATTTTTACTATTAAACATATTTTCCATTGAATTTTTTAAGACAACTTTTTTCGAAAAATTTAAATAAGAACAGATTAAATAATTAAGAAAATGTTTAATTTAAAAAAATGTTTCTATAGGTAATTTTAACAGCATAAATAAAATTTTCAATAAAATCGTCAATCAATAAAAAAGTGTAAGCGAAAAATATTTTTTTTTGAGAAAAAAAAAATGTTTATATAAAAAAATTTTATTTATGTTATACTTATACATGTCTAAAAAATTTAAGAAAATTTTTATGTTACAAAAAAAGTTTTATATTAGTAATTTTAAAAGCATAATTAAAATTTGCAATTTATTTAAATCATAAACATTTATTTTGCGAAATTTTCTTATAAATAATTTATTTTACTTTTTTATATAAGAAATATTATACTTTTTGAATTAACCTTATTATTTTTTAATTGTGACTTTCATGTTTTTTTTTAAATTTATATTTTTATATATTTTTTATTATTTTTTGTTTTGTAATTTAATTTTTTTTTATTTATCATATTGTACATTTTTTTATTAAAACTTAAAAGTAAAGAGTTAATTTTTGTTTGGAAAATTTTAATATTTCTGCTTTTTTTAAATTATTTTTAATTATCTTTCATTACTTTTAAATTTTTTAAAATAATTTTATTTATTTTTTTAATTGTACTTGTAGTTTACATTTTTTTAACTATTACAAAGTTTTTATTAAAAATAGAAATAAAATTAATTTCTTTTTAGAAAATTTTAATTATTGTGTTTTTTGTAATTGTTTTTAATTATTACTTTTAAATATTTTAAATTTTTAACAGTAGTTTAAATTTTTTTTAACTATTATAAATTTTTTTATTAAAACTTAAAGTGAAATTATTTATTTATTTTTAAGAAAATTTCAAAATGTTTGCGGTTTTTGAATTATTTTCAAACTTCTTATATTATCTATTACTTTTTTAAAATAATTTTTTATTTTTTTTTTAATTTATAATTTTTTTATTAAAAATTAATAGCAAAAACATTTTTTTTAGAAAATTTTAATATTTGTGGTCTTGTTATATTATTTTCAATTTTCAATTATTACTTTTAAATTTTTAGAATATTTTTTTTATGTTTTTTATAGTAGTTTAAATTTTTTTAACTATTATAAATATTTTTATTAAAACTTAGTAGGAAATAATTAATTTTTTTAGAAAATTTTAAAATTTTGTGCCCTTTTAAATTATTTTATATCTTCCTTTACTTTTTTTGAGAAAAAATTTATTATTTTTAATATTCTCATTTGCATTTATATATATTATATATATTAATATTGTTATTTTCGTAAATGAAAAGCAAATTAAAAATTCGTAAAATCCCACAAACTACGCAAACATTAGAAAAACTAACCAAAATTACACCCAAGAGTCAGCTTAAAATAAATTTTGTGCGTACTTTGCGCAAACAAAAGCGGCAACCACTAAAGCAACCACAACAACAACAATAACTAAAATAACGGAAACAGTTAAAAATGCACGCCCAAAGGACTAATTTCGTGTTTAGACGACAAATTTCGCTCGAAGAGTGAGTAAACGGTGCTTTGAAAGGCTGACTAAGCGATTTGCCAACTGTGTATTTGAGTGTGTGTTTGTGTTTCTGTGCTCAAAATAGTTTTTCTATGCATGTGGCTGTGTGCTTGTATTGAGCAAATGTCTGTCTGTGTGCTGTTGCGCTTTTTGTATTTGTGCATTGGTCATGACCCGCAAACGGACGTTCAAGTGTCGGCGAGCCGTTCGTTGTTGGTGTTAAGGATGAGCATATGGGCTTTTAGGCGTAAAAACTTATACGAAATACACACACATCAACAATATATGCGGACAGTAGTAATAAATTAATTTTCAGTGTTTGTGTATGCATGTAGGGTCAGTGAGAAATTTTTGGTTGTCATTTATAGGGTGTTTTATTAAGACACTTTGGCTGGGAAAGAAACTGCAGAAAAATCTCAAAAAATAATTAATATATAATAAATTAAATACAATAATATTTTGAAAATATTAGCGCCTCTAACTATATATAATCTTCACTGTTTACATTTTGCTATATTTTCCCTACCGGTTCATTTAGTTGCTTTCAATTTGCCAAATCATTATAATCATATTATATATATTTTTTTGCATATTTCTGATATATTAAGTCTTCTAACGCCATATTGCATTCACGCCCCATTTATACCAACTACATTTTTCCTACTGGGTCAATTAAATGTTTTTCCTTTTGGCAGCTTAATAGTTGACCACATGTTGTAGCGATTATTCGCAGTTAACCCGCCTTCACTTTACGCCGCATTATTTCATTAAAACTTTATCCATATTTTGCCACTCACCCCCGTCCAGTGGCCGCTGCTCTTTTTTACTGGCCTGTCATTTTCAAAAGGGCTTTGATATTTGGTTATTTAGCATGTGAACTCATAAATTTAAAGTACTATTACAGTTATTTGCGAATTTCGAAGTAATTTTAATTGAAATTGAGTTCAGAAATTTTGTAGATTTAGCAGAATTTTTCAAGCGAGTGTTTTGTTTTCATAAAATAACGTTAATTATGAGCTGCAATTGAGAGTTGGCTGATGAGAGAGCCGAGGAGAAGAGAGGCGGAATATGTTTATCATTAGTTCGAAGAATTCTATAATCGTAGACATTTGGCTCCTCGAAATAATTATTAGTTATTAAGTGGCCTCTTATAATTGTTGATTTGCCATCGAGTAGCAATAACTTTTCACTATGTAATTAACATGTTACCATAGCTTCACCTATAGCATTATTAGTTTTTGCGGCTTTTGTCGTGGAAAAATAAGTTTGATGTTGGGATAAAATGTCGCCAAGACTTATTTCGCCACAACAACAGAAGCTATGATTCTTGAAGAAGTCGAATCGCCACTTTAAGGTTGATTCTGCATTTTTGTAAACGAGGTTCTGCGAAAATTATTTTTTCTCGACGAAAACGCCTCTAAAGAAGAGTAACTTGATTTCAACGTAGTACTGTCTGTTAAGGTGAGAGTTCATACGTTGCTTTCCTCTTAGTTACATCCATATTTCTGTACTCTGAGTCAACTAGATATCGCCAAGTGACATTTCGCCACAACAACGGAAGTTCCAATAGGGGCGGATAGTCAATTTTACACAAAAACATCCTTGACGAAATCAGATCGCCACTTTACATGATGGCAGAGAGGTACGCTCCTTCAATCGTGATTTTTGGGCTCTGGCAGCAAGAACGTGCTCTGTGTTAAGCCTATCTACCAAGCTCAACGATTTCTCGTGAACGATCTTTTGGGGCTATCGACGAGATGTTGGTGAGAGATTGAGATTTCGAAACCAGTATTAAGTTGTAGTATTCATCCAACTACATGAATAAATTTCCGCTCTTCGGCTAGTCTACTAACTATTTGAGATGTTTACCCTCCTGCATGGTACAATTTCTTTTGTATACAATTTAGTTACAGTCCAAAAAGCATCAACTCGCCAGCATCATAACATTTACAGTTTCAAACATGCCACAATAGTCTAGAACTAGCAAAGACTACTATACCTGAGCAATATATGCCGACTTCTGCTCTATAAGAGCGGTGAAAGACCAAGGTTTTAATTGTGGTTCGAGTCTTCGAGACAAGCGTGGTCAACCAGCTGTACTTTCACTAGTTAGCTGTCGCTGGATTTGAATGCCGATATTTTGTGGAGTTGACCCGTTCCTTAACGGTAGTGTAGTAGTTCTCATATCATATCCATATGTAGCGGATTAATATTATACATTATAATATTAATATTTTAAGACAAACTTTGGCGGAAGACCTTTGACCTTTAGAGGGCACAATAGACCCTAGATCGCGCTGCAAACCTCATACAAATTCTAGGAAGATCCGAAAAAAAGGTTCGGTTTTCTTAACTGATTTACAGTGAAAGTTTTCGGCTGTCGGAAGAGTTCTAAAATTGTGGACGAAGCTCAGCGATTACTACGATAATGACGTTGGTTTCTAATAGGGTTCTATTTTCATAGTTCAAAATTCTTGTAGATTAAGGTTACGTTGTAACAAGTAGTTCAGAATTATTGTTGATTATGGCAAATCTTTGACTTTTGGACCTTTATTTTTGCTTTCTTCTGAAGGCAGGAAGAGCGAGAGGAAGAGGAAGGAAGTTTAAACAGTGATGAGTTGCGTAAGTTAGTTTATAAATTACAAATTAATTTAGTAAGCCCAAAACTATGCTACAAAACACTACACATATTATATGTTTTTTATATTTAAAAATATTTCTTGACAAATATGACAAAATATATTTATATATTTTTTCAATCAATCAAACTTTAGACAGCGATTCAGTAACCTAGTCACTTTACTTTTTGTTTTGTTTAGTATATTATATAGAAGTATACATTTAGTAGTGGTGTTGATATATGGAAGTATACCTTTAGGAGTGGTATTCACAGCAGGCTTAATATAGCGTTTCTGTTAGCAAAACTATTTATTTGATATATTTTAATTAGTAATATTGCTTAGCTTACCTCTCTGCTGCCTTTACGTTGTTTTTGTTGTTATTTTCTTTTTGTTGTTACAATTTTTGTTTGTTTATGCGCCTTGCTTTTATTTGCGTTGCAGCGTGCGAAGAATTTTTTGCTGTTTCGCTAGTAATCTTTTACACTTTTTGTTTAAAATTTCCTTCTTTTTTGTAAGTTTTTACACGAATGTGTTTTTGTTGTTTTACAACAAATACTTAATTTTTCCGCACTCAGTCTTTATTTCACTGCCTTTCAATTAATTTATAACTCTATAATAACTTTCCAACTTGTTGTTGTGCAATCAATATGCTCACACTGTCATTACTGAGCACTTCCTCACGCTCTATGCTTGCGCTTGTGTTTGTGTGTGTGTGTGAACACACGCTGCTGTGCGTTGACTTCGATCGAACGCCTTCAACTTTACTTTTATGCTAATTAATATTTATGTAATCGCGTTTCGTTGTGTTGCTATTGCCGTTATTGTTGTTGTTGACGCAGCTGCTGTCTTTGGAACACCTGCTATTGTTTTTGTGGTTGTTGTTGTTATTGTAGCTACGCCTTATAGTTACTCAATGGCATGCCGCATGTCAGCAAACGTTTTTATATAATGTTTTCGTGTATTTTTTTTAGTTGAAAATTTTTTTTTATAATTTTTTTATTTTACAGTAAATTAAATTTACAATTCACTACATTTGCAAAATTTTCGCTCCGTTTATTTCACTTTTTACTCGCTTCAATTTGCAGCGCTTCCTGTTCAACTACTTTGTCAGCGCCTGAGTGTATGCTACAATATTGCTATTTCTACTGCTGCTGTGTTATTTTGCTGTCGTCGCGGTTGGGTGTTGCTGACTTTCGCTTCCTTTTGTCTACTTTGATTGCTGATTATTGTATTCACTTTGTTTTCATGCTGCTTTTTGGCATATTCTGCGCGCTGGTGTCAAATAACAGTCAGTCTCGTCTGTCAGTTATGCATACAAAAACAATTGCTTTGTTGACATTTAGCAATGATTTTCTACAATAAACAACAACACCTATGCACCTTTTTATAACGTTTTCTTAAACTTTTATATTACTTTTGGCATCCACTCGCTCGCTTATCCTTTCATGCCGTTGTCCTTACGCAAATATTTTCACTGTCTCCTGTCGCCACTTGAATGATTGAATGCACTTACGGTCGCTGTTTGCTAGCGTCTGACTCATATGACATTCGACTTTTGCTCGGTTGCATTGGCGTGCGTGTTGGAAGCGTAGCTGTCGCCGTGTGTATGCTGGAAGGCAATTGCCGTGGAACGTACGACGTCCAAGCGGTTGTCTGTTGTGGCAAGGATGTGATTTTACCTAGCGGAGATTACCATCCAGACACTGCTAATGCGCACTAGATGGCGTCGTAGGTTATTGTACCGTGGGCAAGAATAAAGAAAATATATTTTCATTCGAGACACCCTGTACGCATATCCTGGCTGCAGGATGTTAAACTTTCAGTGGTATTGTAATAGAGTAAAAATGAGGAAAGAAAGGTAATGTCTTTGCTTATAAAAATGAGTGTAAAATATTCAGGCAACACAGACAGTAGAGTGTAAAAGATTTCAAGTGGAAAATTAATTTTTTGTTTTTTTTTTTTATTTTATATAAATTTTATAAAATTTTATAGTTTTTTTTAATAATTTTATTATATTTTCAAAAATTTTTATTTTGTTTTTTTATATTTTTTTTAGAATAGTTGTTTATTTTTATATAATTTATTTATGATTTTAGTTTTAGTTAGATTAAATTATCGCTTCACTCTCACTGAAATTAAAATAGAAATACTAAAAGGTTCACTTTTGTTTTGACATTCATTAATTTCCATTCTTATTCTATATATTTTAAATATTAGTTTCTTTGTTTAATTTTCTTAATTTGTATTTCATATTTTTTGTTTGATATTCCGTTTTCCGCTTTACAAATTTTGTATTCTATGTGTTATAAAATGTGATATTCTATGTTCTGTGTAAAATGCATTTTCAATGTATTTTTAATTTTTCTTTGTATACAAATATATATTTTGTATTTAGTTTTCTATGTTCTATGTTTTACGTCTACATTCAATTTTATTTATTAACAATTTTGTACCTAAATCCAAACTATTTCTTATATTATAAGTAATATTCTATACATATTTTGTATTTTATTTGCTGTATTCTATGTTTATGTCAATATTCTATTTAATTTAATATCGATTTTCGTCCCAAATTCAGGCTATATCTTGTATTATAAACGATATTTTATATATACATATTTTGTCTTTTACTTCATATATTCTATGTTTATGTCAGTATTCTATTTAATTTGATATGCATTTTCGATCCGGACTATATTTTTATATTATACGTCATATTTTAAACATTTACATTCTATGTTATTCTACGTTTAACATTCTAGCCGCTATGTTATATATTTCATTTCAGTTAGAATATATTGTATTTTCCCATTTATTTTCAATATTGTGTTGACTTCTGATTTGTTTCTACAAAAATTCTATGTTGTTTAGACGATATTATAAACATAATTATAATATTTTCTACCCTCTATACATAAGACTTGAGTGAAACATATTCTATGTTATTTATTTATTTAATATTTTAGTATTTTAATATTTATTTCTATTAATTTGTTCATGATTATACAGTTAATATTTTTTATATTCTATGTTGTATTTATTTTAAATTTTTTATATCAGATCTTTAATTTAACATTCTATGTTTTATGTTTGGTACTTGGTTTTAATTTAAAATTTATATTCTAAAAACATAGAATCTATTATGTTTAAAAATTCTAAAGCTTTGTATATTCGATATTTTAATTTAAAAATTCTATGCTTTATATGTAATACTTGATAAAATATAAAACGTGTTTTCTAAGAACATAGAATACAATATTTTTAAAAATTGTGAGTTTTTGTATATCAGATATTTTAATTTTACCATTGTAAGTTTTATATTTAATATTTGGTTTTCTATATTTTTGATTTTATATTCAATATGCAATGTTTTATAATTTTTAAAAATTCTGAAGTCTTTTTGTATTAATATTAATAGTCTATGTTTTATATTTAATACTTGGTTTTAATTAAAACGTATATTCTGAAAACATAGAATCTAATAGTTTTAGATATTCTGAAGTTTTGTACATTAAATACTTGGATTTTTATTTTATATGTTTTGTATTTAATACTTAGTTTTCTATATTTTTGACTTTATATTCTATATTCCATGTTCTATAATTTTTAAAACTTCTGCAACTTTGTATAAGAGATATCTTAATTTTAATATTGTATGTTTTGTGTTTAAAACTTGATTTTAAATCTAATTTAAAATGTACATTCTAAAATCATGTATGTTTTATATTTAATATTTGGTTTTCTATATTTTTGACTGAATGTTCTATATTCCATGTTCTATTATTTTTAACATTTTTTATGGTATGTATATTAGAAACGTTAATGCTATTTAATATTTTACCATATCTTTCATATATTAGAAGAATTTTTTTTTATTTATATATTAAAACCTTTCATAATATATTTTTAAATAAAATGTTTAAAGATAAAACAAACCAAAAAGTTATAAAAAAAATTTAAATCAAAAAAATATTTAACATACATTTTTACTAAAATTTTTTCTAAATTTCATTACTAATTAATTTTTTTATTAATTAAATTATTATTTTTAGTTAATTTTAAGAATTTTTTAATTCATTTTATTATTTATTATAATTAATTTTATAAATTTTGATTAAATTATTTTTGCTTCTTATTAATTAAATTATGTTAGAAAGTTTTTACAAACTTTTTTATGTAAATTTAGGTGTATAAATTTAAGAATAGGGTTAAAGATCTCGTCCAACTATTTTGAGAATTAACTTAAAACTTGAGGGTAATAACGCCAACAAAAGAACCTCCGCAAGCTATCACTATAAGCTTTTCAGCTACTGCCATTTAGACTACTTTGAAGTACACCGCTTTTAAACTCGCCGAAAATAGAGGGGGACGCTTGTCATAACCCGCGTTATACAAAAGAAAAAGTAATAAAAAAAATTCAATAAAAAAAAAGATAATAAAAGGCGAAATATCATATGCTGCCGAAGGCGTGTGCACAGTTTCCGCAAATGCCTGCTTTCTTTTATCGCCTCGTACGTACGTTCGTTGATCCTGCTGGTGCCATTGATCCTGGCTGCGCTGATTTATGCTATTCTTTGTTGTACATATACATATCTATATTCTCATTTGCTTAGCTACGCGATGTATTTATGATTACGGCTAATCATATGGTCCACATTGGTCCAGCCACTCAGGCGCATTCGGCTTTTGTCGGAGTTTTGCCGTGCCGCTAAAGCGTATCGAATTTCAGCGCGGGCAATTGACTGTGCCTTTCTTAACAATGAACTGTAATCTATACTAAGCAAGGTGGTCACAGTTGTTGTTGTGTTGGGATTTTTAGCGGCACTCATCGTCTTCTCTTACAAATGTAAGTGATATACATATTTCACTTTTGCTTTTATCGGTGATGGCGATCTTGTGAGCGGCAAATGCCGTTTAACATGCGGTCGAATGAGTTGGGATTGTAATCAGGGCGCGGAATTCATAATTTTCACTTAATTTTTGGAGGTAAAATGCAAAGTGAACGCAAATTATATCAAAAGTCTTATAGGCGAAAACTTTTGAGCTTTCATTGTTTTAATAATTTCTAAAGCTTTGATAGAGCTTTTTTGAGCATTAGGGCTATCACAAAATATTTTTTATATAATAAACACGAAGCATTGATTTGTGTGGTTCCAAATATATATAATTGTAATCTAATTTTGCTTCAGAAACTTCCATACTCTCTGCAAAAGCTCTAACTGAAGTTTTTAAACTGAAAATTTCACTTGAAAAAAGTTTGTATTGGGTTTTAAAGAGGTTTAAAGGCGTTTGAAATTATGGATTCACTGATTTTTGCGTTTGGCGAGCTTTTAACTTTGTTTTTAAAGATTATAAAAGAGTTTTTTAAAGCTTTAAATTTAGAGATACTATATTTTTTGAAATAAATAAGACATTTTTAATGATGTAGAATAAAATTTACATACAACCTTCCCGTTTTCATAATCTCTTCGAAAGCTTTGTTAGTAGTGTTAATAGTTGCTTATGAAAAATTTACCATATGCATTTAAAAAAGAATTCTAGCATTTTACAATTATTATATAACTCATTTTGAACTTTCGGAGCTTTTTGCTAATGCGGAACGTTTTGTATAGCTTTTCGCTATATGAAATTTCTTAGTTGCAGATTGAACTCTGTAAAAAAATATGTGTATTATATTTATGAAAATTAATTGGTTGCCTAAGGTTTTTCCTCAAAGCTTTAAAGGCTTTTTAGCGATGCACATGCGAGTTTACAATGGATCTATTAGGCATTAGTAAAAATATATGTTTTAAACCTTTGCAAAATATCTCGAATTGTGATGGTAGAGCTGTGAACCAAATTTTGTTTTCGTAAAGCTTTGAACGCTTTGTAGGGATACACATAGAAAATTACAAGGGAGCTTTTAAACACTGGTTAAAATATATGTTTTAATCCTTTACAAAATATCTTGAATTGTTATAGTAGAGCTTTGAAAGCTTTGTAGGACAAAAGTCACAAAGATGCTCACTTACTCAAACATATGTATATTAATTTGCAGCATCCTGTTATACTGCATGGCTAATCACCATCTATCTATAGAAATATATAATAATCTATTTTGGAGTAAATCACTGTTATTAGCGCTGTTAACTCTGGTTGAAGTTTTATGAAAGAAATATATATAAATACATATACATACATTTTATTATTATTTTTATGTAAAACCTGACTAACTGAGATATGTAAATTTTTAAGAGTTATAAGCGCTAAAAAAGCTGTTTTGCAACTCAAAAGCTTAATTTTAGAGCTTTTACAAAACTCAAAAGCACCTTGTGTGCTATGGAGCTTCCACAGTGCTTTATAACATATTGTGAATTATAGAGCTTTCGGAAAGCTTAACAACACTTTATAGGTAATGGAGCTTTCACAAGGCTTAGTGAAGTATGAAACGAGCTTTTTCCGAGCTAGCCTCTCTTTTCTTCTTATTACTAGCTGGGCTTGTCAAGCGCATAAATATCACTCTCATTCTCTGTAAGCGAAATATTTCCTGCT